CTCCCAAATCCCATTGGTTGATACAAATCGCGTGCCTGAAACTCCTGTTTTATGGTGACTTGTGACCTTAACGGCCTAACCCTATTAAAAAAAAAAATTAATTGTTGTGAAAATTATTTGTTGTTATTAAATTGTTGTAAATAAATCATGTAAATATTTGCGTTAATTGGAAAAAAATAGTTAAATGGATATAGATAGAAAAATACAGAAAACAGGTAAATAATAAAAAATCGGATGGGATTCGATCCAAGGACCTTTGAGCCGTAATCCTGTGCTGTACGCATTCGGCTATCCAGGCTTATTAGCTTTCTAGACGATCGGCAGCCCTGATATCGCGCGAAGTGCAAAAAACGCTGCGTAGCGGCACACTAACACAACAACGCTGCACTCATTGAATAGCAATTTCAACGGGTCCACTATAGACGCAATTGTGGGGCTATCGCTGAATTGAGCAGTTCTGGCAAATGCATGACGGGTTTGACTACCCCCGTAGCTAGAGATTTCCTAGAAATTGTCGTAATTCTTGGTTCGCTACTCGACGCGCTTGCTTTGCTGTAAAAAACAGAGTTGAAATTTTTTGTGCCAGCGACTAGTTCAGGCCCCCATATCAGTGACAGTGTAGTACATATGGCCTGCGATAGATGGCGCAACAAGGCTATATGTATAGCGTTTCGCTACGACTTTCCTGCAGACGGCTCGGCCGGTAACAACCTACACTGCTCCCCGGTCGACAGTTCCACACGCTACACTAACTAACTTCAGTGTAGCGAAGGATACTTGCCGGAGTGAAGGTGATGAACGGGTACCAGTCTAGCTATAACCCTCCAAACTCCATCCAGTGCCCGTTTGTACACTCTCGTAGTTTCTACAAGGTTAGTTTAGCTCTAGGGTACTAGTACTACAGCTAATTAGTTTATCTAGTACTGCCCCATGTTCGATCCCCCGCTGCAGCTGGAACATAGGTGTTTGTTTACGTTTGGTGTACATTGGTTGGCCATTGATGGCGTACCAACGCTGATCCAGGCATCCGTACTGTGATAATATGGGGAAATGTAAATGTGGGGGGATGTGGGTAAATGTGGGGGGGATGTGGGTAAATGTGAGGGGGGGATGTGTGTGGGGGATATTTAGCAATGTCGCAATAGCCGTAGTTGTTAAAGCGCCGTGCTACTGGTGCGAACGTTGCTGGTTCAATCCCCGCATTGGCAAAATATTTTCCCTCATTTATTTATCGCTGCCGGTTTTCATTATAACGTTTTTTCATTACACCTTCTACCATGTTCGTGCGTCTATCATGCATCTATCGTCTATGGTCTATGCGTCTATCATGTTCGGCTGTTCTAACTATGTGGAATTATGGGATACTAACTCCGAGTTACTCTGAGTCTTGCTCTGAGTTAACTCTCAGTTATTTAACTCAGGATTTAATCCATGTTTATGAAACCCAAATTTAACTCGGAGTTTACTAGCTCAGAGTTAGTGAGTTTAACTCAGAGTTGGTCTTAACTCAGGGTTAAAGTTAATCCACGACTGTGGAACCACAATCAAACTGCATGCAGTGCCCCTTCGTACACTCAAGATACCACTGCCACAATGCTAGCACTATTTTTAAAGTGGGCGGAGCTCGGGGAAAATCCAGCAAATGGAGATTTGTAAACAGTGTATGATTTGAAAGAGGTAAATAGGCGCACAATCCGCGTACTATTTCGTATCACTATTTTATAAAAATTTTACTAAAATAACGGTCAGATTTTTAATATCTTTGCAACTTTTATACACAACAGTTATACATTCTCCGGCGGTCATATATGCGCCATTCAGTAATATAAGTCTAACTACGCGTGACAAATGTCATCCAAATCTATCATATTGAGGATGTTGCCGATTGTGTGCACAACATCACGTTACATGAAGAACTTCAGGCAAAACAACGTCGCTGACATCTTCAACATGACGGCTGTCGACAGTTCCCTTCAACACGACGTAGGTACTGCTGTCATGACGTTCTGTAGCAGCACATAGCAGAGCAATACGCAGAGGAATCAGTTCGATGTTACGAATAGCCACATAATGCGCATACTCTCTCAAACAACATCCTCATCCATTTCTTCATGCAATCATGGTGCGATCTCTCTGATGTTCACATATCAAGTGTTATATAGAATAAGCGTCATGTGGCGCTGTACAACTTATAGTGAAAACGCCTAAGACCACACGGAAATGGAACTACCGTGAAATCAAAAGCTTCGCTCTCGCCCCCCCCATCTGTACGACCCCCCATCTAAGTCGCGAGTTCCTCCCATATCCCAAATCTCTGCCCTCTGTGTCCCCCGCTAAAATTCCAAACTGTTCGCTGGCAGCTATGGATCCGTGCGCCAACCTATGCATTTGGCGCATGGATCCATAGCTGCCAGCGCTGCATACTGTCGTAGGACGTTTCCGCGGTCGCGTGCGCCTTGCCGCGGAACTGCGTGCAAGATCCGCGCTCAGCGGTTAGGATCAACACCTCCTTTCGGCAACACTTCTCTGGTATCCCGCCTCATCTGTATTATGGATGTGCCATAAATATGAAAACACTATGACATCATTGAGGCAGTTCAGGAATCCATGTTTAACACTCCTCTTGAGGGTCAAAAGGTTATCAGACACTTACTCTTCGCACGTCAGTGGAAAGCACATTTCATGGTCCTTTCAATAAAGTGATAAAAATGGTAGGTCAGCGCTGAAACAAAAAAGTGTTTCACTCTGTCCATTAGGCCATGTCCTCAGAAAATGTCTGATATCTGACCTTTCCCCCACTGCCCTTTGACCTGTGACCTCCAATTTCGCACTATACACCGAATATTAAGAGCATAGGTCGAGCCGTTAAGATTTGTGCCGCAATTCCGTATTTTCTCCTATACCTTAAGTTAAGGGGGAAATATTCCCCCTCCGTTTACACATCTTGTCCTTTGACCCTTGACCACCAAATTTGTCATCCCGAGTCCTTTTCACGATCCCCCCCCGACGTCCCGAATATTGTGACCGTACGTCAAGCAGTTAAGATTTGTGCCCAACTGTTGACGCACGCACGCACGCACGCATGGCCGGCCGGATGGTCAATCACGCGATTCTACAAGCTGCATCCGACTACGTCAGATGAGCTAAAAATAGCAATATTACCTACAATCCCGTGCCGCCGACCATACTGGTTCCAGAATTGCAAACACTTGTTACCGATATGCGCAATCTACCAAATTAACATCGATAGATTGTACATACGATAGTGTTATTATAGTAATCTATATTAGCAGTAAGTGGATCCCGGTTTTGCAGACAGGTTTCCCAGCGCGTGTTGTGGTGATAGAGTTCGATATGATTGTGCAGACCCGGTTTTACAGGGTGTTGCAGGCAGGTCTATCAGCGTGGGGTGGGGTGCTAGTCTGCTAGAGTTCAATGAGATTACACAGGTACAGTTTTGCAGGGCTTTGCATGCAGGTTTATTAGCGTCGGGAGATTGCACGCAACACAGATGTTCATGGACTTGAGTTTGTTTACATCGCGAGTGTTCAGAAATGTCACCGATTTTACTGCATATAGCTATCAAACGCAGCTTTTTATAACATCTGGTGTATGCAAAATTTGGGGGTCGAGCCAACTGTCTGAAGTGTACGTAGTATGGGCAAGTACTTTGATTCACTAGACAACGTAGCCAAAGCACGCTATCTCGAGAAAATTGCGTACATTGGGAATCGACACCCGTACGAGAATGGAACGAGGACCACAACTTGTGCCCATCACGTACTTATATGGATCTCGTGAATTGACTACCTATCATTCTAACCGAGTCCATTTTATACTCTCAATGACTTTCAGAACCACAAAAGCCTGGATGCCTACGATCGACTGTTCTGCGGTTGGGTTAGTGGTGTACAGTGAGAGTCCCATCTACGTTATCCGAGCACGTGTTATGCACTCCCAGTCTCTGATTATACCATCTCTCTATCTGTGCATGGGTCACGATGAGAGAATATGGGACAGGCATCATGTCAGCACACTGTAATTGTAAAGCTGGGCTTGGTGAATTCTGTTCACGTTGCCTCGGTGCTATTTTATGTAGAGTATGCTGCACGCGCAAGAGAAATCACCACCCCCACTCAAACAGCCGCCTACTGGATGCAGGCGATATATGTATATAAGTGTAAATGTGTAGCGGTGTGCGCCGTGAGTGCGGTGTACGTGTGTGTTGCAGAAGAACATTTGACCGGCATTAACAGGTAATTATCGGCGATACTAGGCGAAAGAGAGTAGAGAAACATTAAGACATTGGTAGTAAATACATTTCGTGTTTATTCAGCATTGCTTTTTTATTGAAAATGCTCCAAGCGTCTGTGGTCCGCCTGGCCCTGGTCTCTCGTCACTTTACCTTGTGTTGTGATCATGCTAGGCAGCCTAAAACAACTGTGTGGCTCTCTCTGATATAGATTGCTGCAGTTGACAACAAACACCGCAGGAGAGCGGCGTTGTGATGGATTTGCTTAATACTAATAGGCAAATATAATTAGCAGAAAACAGTGCCTTGGGCCCGCCTTAGGCAATGTACTTGTACAATGCCTAAACTGGTTTCTGGAACCGTCATGGCTGGCAGCGTTGCATTGTGGGTAATTTGAAAATTCGCAGAACCCTCTATACTTACGCAACGTTACTCATCTACACAGAAAACAAAACACAAAACCAACTACGATCTTTTATTGAGACTAAGTAAATTTGAATGCATTTCTGAACAGCTTTGTTTACTCAAACGGACCACTGATATTAGTAGCATGACTCTTCTCACTATATACAAATATAGACAGTAATGACCAATACATTCACTACTGTTGACTCACTTGACTGCAATGTTGGTTCGCCACGCCTTGGATAGGAGTATGCGTCATGGGTAATTTTGGCACACAGATACATACATGTATATATGTTTTACTTCTATTGGCTCTACTATTAAAATTAATTAAACTACCTACCTGTCTAGTAACTACTATGATCTCATCTGCCTGGATGTTGATTTCCGCAGAACCTGGTTGGGCATCGAAATCATATAGAACTTTAACCTGAACAGACAGAAATAGAAATGGTAAACCAAGAAATTATGCATAAAGACTGTCCTTATGAAATTACTGTAAATAGTATGACTATAATTATTTGTACGTTTTAGAAAGAAGAGAGTAAGACTGAGATGTTGCATACTCAAAAAGTGAAAGGATTTCTCACGAACGTAATCGATACGAGCATTCTATAAATGGTCACTATTTATGATAGCACCCCAATATCAGGGTTCAAAATTAAGGGCAGCAAGTGGTAGTTTTTCTGCCTGCAAGGCTAGTTTGCTGCCTAATCTCAGTGTCACAACAAATACTTGTGGTAAGAAATTCCCAATAACCCAAAGTAAACCACCAAAGTTACAGGCAATTTCTGAGGCACCAGATTACAAGCTTCTCACCATCAGTGCAATAATAAAAAAGTTTATAATTAACAAGTGTTAGCGTAACAAGTGACAAATGACAACAACAGGCTGAGCTAGGTTCCACAAGTGTATGTAAAACTGTATCAGTAGAATAAAATCAGGGACATTAACAGGATCGCAACCGGCAGTCTTGCGTGGGACTGTAAAAAAAGATCAGAGTATCGGTCAACCAATTTTTATTTCTTTTGATATATACTAAAATAACAAAAGTGGTAATTCGACTATATCAAAAAGAGCTTGGTCACGTTGGTGGTTTATTGATTAGCGTGTCTACTTTCGCTTCAAAGGTGTGATGTCAAACCCTGGCCATGGCAGTTATTCTTGCAAAAGTGTAAAAATCTGACTCTCAGTCTCAACATTGTCATTAGGCAAGGCGCGACAAAACCCGCTTGCCCGCTTGCCTGGGGCAACCAAAATTTGCCCCCGGGCAAGTAGCTTGAAATTGCACTTGCCTGTTCGGGCAATCAAGTTTTTTTTATTGAATGTCTAGTCTAGACATAATGATATTTTTTGGTGGTTTCCACCTGTCCCTTGCATTGTTTTGCACAGACACAACATCGCGCTGCCTTGCTGCAACGAGATTTAAATAAAAAATACAATGCGAATGAACGTCCCAAATAAACGTGAACATAATTTATTAATTTATTGTGAGAGTGTGGTGGGTTTTTGATAATAAACTGACACTTAAAAAATAAGAAATAAAAAACAAACTGCGTGCTGTGTCCCAACATGAATATATTTTATATACACTCGTATCAGCTGTTCAACTTTCTACTGTGCCGCTAAGTGAAATCCTGAATGTTGACTAGATGAACCTTCATTTACGTTATTTACCATTTACATTCATATTAGAATTTTTTTAATGTTTTTTTTAATGTTTTTTCGGGCAAGTGACTTTTGCCTCCGAGCAAGCAGTTTCGTAACCCACTTGCCTGACAGGGGATTTTTTTTTGTAGCACCCTGCATTAGGGACTGTAAATTCCATGTGGATCAGAAGACCACGTAAAATTACAGGCCTGTGTCCATTGATGCAGATGTAAAATAAGTAAATAACCGATGAGGACGTGAAACATTCCGGTAGTGACCACTCTCAGTGTTAACAAAGAGGTCAGCCTGGTCACCTAGTGCCAGACTAGTGTAGTGCTCTAGGGCCAACAATAGCCCGACCAGGCTGTGCGACGGATTGTCTAGATACAGCCTGACACCCTTCCATACAAAAAACCTATCACCTCTGCAGATCTAGATGAATAACTCTGTATATCTCAAATAAAACTATTCTATTACCACCTTTGACTTGCCTTGTTTGAAATATGAACGTTAACTCACAGTTGTCCTGCTTCTAAACTAGAATGTATCTCTTAAGTCATGGTATAATCTGCTAATTCTCTCAGCATATCAACTTTCCAATCAGCTTTACCCGCCAGTTTTACACTGCGCATGAGTCAATGGAAGAGAGACACGGAAAACCCGAAACGGAAAAGACTCGCTAGAAAATACTACAGAAATAGTACTATAGCTGCACGATGGCTCTCACGGCCATTACACACTAAAGCAAGTGAAACGATGTTCACAAATGTGTGGGCCATTTGTAAAAACCTTAGATGACATGTTCTCGGATGTAGGGGTGGTTTACATAAGAACCGCAGATCGTTTAATTTCCCTTGTTCGATCCATTGCAGATTTTAGCCACAGTCGGAATGATAGTAAACATGGTGGCAAATTCATAAATTTTGTTCCATTCGTCTCAAAAAGTCGCTGTAACCCGGTAAGTACCCAGTGCATCGTAGCGCACTGATGGTTACAAGAAGGTGGATGTATATTGTATACTGATTCATTTGGTATATCACATGTGAAGTGTTCTTTGGCGATACTTGGCAAATAAGTCAACTACGTGTTTAGCTGCAGCCAATGTTTGAAACGGTATTCTAACCCTAGCAATACCGTTTCCTGGAGCTAGGTCCAACAAGTGAGCGAGATCTCAACTTCATAATCTACACACATCTATTATAATAGTTTAATACTAATACTAATAGTAATAGTAATACTAATAGTAATAGTACGTCATCATGAGATGACACAATGTCATTATTTATTGACACGGTTAGTCACATTCCGATCCCCTATTTTGGCATTTTTGCCATGGGGCAGCCACCGACAAGTGACAAGACATCAGAACATGACAACAGTCACAAAACCCTTACTTTGAGTCAGACGTTAAATACCCACGCAAGTAGTCGGCCTAACATATGCCCATGCCATAGTCCTATGCCATGGCCATGGGATGACAAGGCTATGCAAATTGAATGTCAACATTGAAAATTCAATTCAATTATCAGTTTCCCTATTTAATTTTATCTTGCTATTGTGACATATTACAATAAAAAATAAAATATCTGAGAAAATGGTTAAAAATAATTACTTTATTTTAAAACCTTCGCCATAGCAGAGTTAAACTTAAAACAGACTTCTTAATATTTGGCATTTGACACCCTACCTGGATCTCCGCCATGTTCTGATCATCTGACCTGTTTTGTGTGTCGTAAAGATTACTGTATCCTATTGTTTCACAGGCATGCATTAGAATTTTCCCTGTGCAGCATATAAAACTATTTTTATTAAACGAAACTAATTTTATATATTGTAGTAATATTTGTTTATATATTTTTTTACCGTAATTAGGACTATACTAACAGTAATTGCTAACTAGAAGCTGTGCGCTCCGAGGAAAATCCCAAGAAACACAAAATTATCCCACGCTACAACTTATTTCACTACACCACAGACTTGATACTGCGCAGGTTTACTGCGCACGAGCTAAAATCCAGGAAGCCGCAGAAGTTTGTGCATTTATCTCATTTCCGATCGTTTTCTATGCTGAAGTGCAATACATTTGCACTCTTGCGATATTGCAGAGGTTATTTAGGAGACTCGAGTTTTCAACTATACTGAAGATGTCACCGCTTCACTCTGTAAGTGTGGTGCAACTAGTATGTGAAATTATAATTTTTACCTCGCTCCTACGAGCCACTAGTACTACTAGTCCGATGCGGGGTACTTAGTCAGTCACTGATTCAGTCAGATTCAGTGGTACTGTAACCAAAGGGGAACAAAATAAAGGAGAAACAATTACATTAGTGCTTGGCACTAGTAGTTAGCTATAAATTACATGCGTTATAACTGTAAAGAAGTAGGAATTACTTCTGAAACCAATTCCGTCTCGTTTATTGTTTCACTTCAGCAAATACAGCTAGCCACTGGCACTGCTAGTGCTAGGCACTAGCCAGTACTCTACTACTCAGTAGCCTAGTGACTAGGCACTACCCAGTGCCATGAACTGACGTTATATTACTGTACCAGCTACGAGTGCTTGGTTTATCATGCCAGTGGCTCCATAAATAGCTACGGGTACTCATGTAGTGCGATCAGGAAGCACTTTACAATTATTTAATCAATACCCTCATCCCTAATTTTCATCACCTGTGTAAAAATAATATGTCAATCAGAATTGATGCTTGCAACCTGGGGCCTGTTGTCAGAAACAGAATTAGTCTTAACATCAGTCTTAACATTAACTTTGACTCGTAGATCGTTGACAGGAACATCGTGAAGTTACAAGAATGAAAAATCCTCGCAAATTTCCTCTTAACATCACCGAGAGCAGACCCTCTCGTAACTTTAAGAATATGAAAATTATGCATTCACACAAAGAATTGCAATTATAGTGATATTATATTTTATATTAATTAGTAAAATGTGTGTTTTTCATAAAAAACACATCAGAAAAAACTACTTATGTCTACAGATCATATACAGAAACAAACATTTGCAAGTGCCATTTGTTTTCTTGTTTTGAATATTTTGATGAGTCATGACGATCACGTCTTGTGTTACTGTGCAGAATTTATGCATTGCAGTGCAGAATAAATTCATGACCATTAGACTATAGGCTGTACACTACAAATGCATTCAAATATTGACTTTTGTGGTCCCCTCTTTGGCAGAACATGAAACATTGTTTAAAGTGTAGCTAATATGATGCCAATCACTATTCCAACTTTATCCCACATGCCCAACACGCACACTTACCCACAATTCTTGCTCAAATATAATTTATGCAAATTTTATGCATTTTTTTCACTTAATGTGATTTAAGCAACAAATAGCAGCTTTAACGTAAAGGATATTTATTAGACAGGTATCTAAGAAGATGACTTGGGTAAACAGTATTATATATTTCATATTAAAATAGTTTTTTTACAATTTCTTATGTATCTTATTGTTTTCAATGTAAATTGCAATTAAAATAGTATGTTTTCACTTGTAGGAGGGATTTAGGTTTTAAAGATTTGTTAATGGGATGAAAGTCATGAAATCCCTTAAGGGTGACTTACCAACCCCATACTCTCTACTATTTTTGTTAAATGCTCTATAATCTGAATGAAACCTCTTTGAATAAAATTCATCTGCATTTGTAAGTCACTCGCACCGACACAGTTCCTACGTGTTCCCTTGCCCGACACAGTCTCCTCCCCAAAGTCATTATTATCCCATACGAGTGTTGCGAAGATGCCAGGTTGTAGACATGACGGGAGTGTATTACATCCTCTGAGCATTTCTTGCTGAGCCAATGCAGTATCATGCTCCAACACATATGAGTGTGATGCACTATGGCCCAAACCATTGAGTAAGCCTATCAGCTGTGCAGAGCCAGTCAAGTGTCTGACTGCCATAGCCAGGGATGTCTGCTTTGGCATTGGCTTTTTCCCTTGGAAGCCAGGTACACAACATCTTGCAATATGCTGAGAATGCGGCGACGCTAATCATCACTGACTTCCACATAATCATCTACTTGTGGGTCATCAGATTTACCAACCATACATGTGAAGGAATTGAAGAGCTTTGAAGGTATAATTTCTCTGGCAGTATCTACAGTCGTATGAGAAGATTTTGGTGGCCAAGGCAGTGTGTTTGATGGGATGTCATCAATAGCAGATCGTAAATCATATGCTGATGTATACAGATCTCTCAAGCTTACTGGTTGCTGGGTATTGCAAGATTTTCCCTTTTTATTGCGTTTCCTTCCTTTTAGCGCATCACCAGCTTCCCTTGGTTGGCACTCGCTATCTGTAGTATCAGTTTCTGCATCTGTGTCAGTGTCAAATTGGACAGCTTCTTCAACCAGATCTTCTGCAGCAAGGCTATCTACATACACAAGTTCACTTTTATATTGCCTGTTTGGCTTTAGAAAGCACACCTGAGGGTATTTTTTTTAAGCCTCTGCTTCAAGTTCCATGCCTTGTACCTTGTTGCATCTTTGTTCTCAATGTCGCTCACAGTTTTGACAAATAACTTCTTTAATTTGGTCAAGCGGAGGATCTCTTTGTCCCTGATCAGCTTGCTATCTATTACCTGTGAACAAAATGCGTCAAAACTCTTTGCAGACAGTTCTACCTTTTCTCCCTGTGGTAGTGGTCTCGTCAAGAACCGTGTGTATGATCTGTGGCAACTGGTTTTCAATGTGGGTCAACAAATGGTGGTCTTGCTTGAGCTTGGCTGCCTTGAGTAATTTACCGCCGTTCACTAGTTCACACCGAGTCAAACGTTCTGGGTGTCTCTTCCGGTTGTGGTCTGTTGTGTACTGTGTGCCACGACAGATAATGCACACTTTGGGTATGATATGAGAACATGTATAAATTAATTCTAAATGTATAAATAACTCATAGATCGAAGGAAATAAAAAAATGAAAAATACAGGAGGCCGTCATCATAAGCTGAGCTTGACTACTAATAGGATGGTGGCCTCAAGGGGAAAATCAAGCTTGTAATTTTTTACATAAAGGTGGGAGATAAAGATAATAATATTTTAATAATAACAAATGTTAAGAGAATGTGTACTGTATAATAACGTACGTAACTTAAGTTTAGTCTTACTCTTACTTTTTAGCTCATCTGACGTAGTCAGATGCAGCTTGTAGAATCGCATGATCGTTTGTGCGTTCGTCCGGCCGTCAACAGTTTGGCACAAATCTTAACCACTCGACATACGGTCACGATATTTGGGACGTGGGGGGGGGGAATCGTGAAAAGGGCGCAGGATGACAAATTTGGGGGGTCAAGGGTCAAAGGTCAAGATGTGTAAACGGAGGGGGAATATTTCCCCTTAACTTAAGGTATAGGAGGAAATACGGAATTGCGGCACAAATTTTAACGGCTCGACCTATGCTCTGAATATTCGATGTATAGTGTGATGGGCAAGAAATTGGAGGTCACCAGGTCAAAGGGCAGTGGGGGAAAGGTCAGCTATCAGACATTTTCTGAGGACATGGCCTAATGGACAGAGTGAAAAACTTTTTTGCTTCAGCGCTGACCTACCATTTTTATCACTTTATTGAAAGAACCATGAAATGTGCTTTCCACTGACGTGCGAAGAGTAAGTGTATGATAACCTTTTGACCCTCAAGAGGAGGGTTAAACATGGATTCCTGAACTGCCTCAATGACATCACAGTGTTGTCATATTCATGGCACATCCATAATCTAGAAACCCAATAAGCCTGGATAGCCGAACGCCTAAAGCACAGGCACCACGGCTCAAAGGTCGTTGGATCAAATCCCATCTGATTTTTTATTATTTACCTGTTTTCTGTATTTTTCTATCTTTATCCATTTAACTATTTTTTTCTAATTAACGCAAATATTTACATGATTTATTTACAACAATTTAATAACAACAAATAATTTTTACAACAATTAATTTTTTTTTTAATAGGGTTAGAGTCACAATGCACCATAAAACAGGAGTTTCAGGCACGCGATTTGTATCAACCAATGGGATTTGGGAGGTATGCAGAATGCAGAAGGTTGCTGAAATGATGTGTACGCAACTGCGTATCTGCATATCTGCGCCTAACAAAGGTGTCACTACGCACGACTTAAATGTTATAACCGTAGCAACAGACCTCAGATGAGCCCAGACGCTCTGCGGCTCTTGTTTAGTCTACGCGTTTGGGCTGCCGCAGTTAACTTAAGTCAGTGGGTTATACACCTAGAGTTACATATGTAGCGTTTTAATATCATATGGATGTGCCATTAACAGATGCAGCCTCCAGTTTCTGCTTTGCAGCTAATCCCCGCTGTTGCTTTGTGGAATCTGTAAAATACTGGTAACATTTGCGGTGAAATCCAGCATCTCGTGGCAAGGGCACCGGCACCACGGCATGTAGCTCTAGTAACTATAGCCCGCGTGCAGTTGCCGTAGGCCTGCGGCAACTGCACGCGGGCTATAGTACTACTACTAAAGCTACACGGCATGCGGCCCAGCGGCAGTGACTCCATGGCATGAGTACGGATGAAAATTTTTGCAATTTGAGCTTGATTGCCCACTAAATCATTCAAAATTGCAACACTACGAGTCCGTAGAAACGTGGTCCAAGTTAAATCTTTGAAAGGTGTAATTTCACTCTCAGAAACACCAGGGTTGTGACAATAACACAGTATTTTCAAGGGGTTCGTGGGCGCAGCCATGTTGGAGTCGTTAGCAACAACACGCATGTACAATCATAGCGTAGTACGGCTCTTTCGATTGGATTATTTACTTCGCTCTTAGCGCATGCTTTGCAACGCGAGACCTAATTGGACAATTCTCCGTCATTTTACTACTTTCCTAATTTTCCCACAAAATTACTAAAAACCTCGAGGGCCTCAGACGTGGGATAAAAAATGAAAATCGTTGTTTCATATCTTTCCCCTTATTTACAAAAGATGTTCATGTTCTGCTGGGGAGGGGATCGCAAGACTAAAATAACGGACAGGATGGCCTATAGTCTACATGTCGTTGTGCGGTTAACCATCATAATATACATAAATTACTGTGATGTACATTAATGTGTATGAATTTTAATTGTGTGATCGATTCTCATCCAATCAGCAGCCTTGTGCCATCAAATTATAACGTTCCTGACAACGGGCTC